CGCTGCTTCGCACCTCCGAGCCAGTCGGCCACGGCGCTCCGACTCAGACACCGCCGCAGTTTGCCAAACTGAACTTCGCCACTTATGACGGCACGGAGGACCCCCTCAACTGGCTCAACCAGTGCGAGCAGTTCTTTCACGGGCAGCGCACCCTTGCCTCGGAGCGTACCTGGCTCGCCTCTTACCACCTCCATGGTGCGGCACAGACCTAGTACTACGCCCTCGAGCAGGACGAGGGCAGCATGCCCCCTTGGGAGCGCTTTCACGAGCTCTGCCTTCTTCGTTTTGGGCCACCGATCCGCAGGAGTCGCCTGGCAGAGCTAGGCCGCCTTCCCTTCACCTCCACGGTTCAGGACTTCGCCGACCGTTTCTAGGCCCTGGCATGCCACGCGTCGGGCGTGACGGCACAGCAGCGGGCCGACCTCTTCGTCGGTGGACTTCCGGATCACATCCGCGTGGATGTGGAGCTTCGGGGACCCCAGGATCTCCAGACGGCCATGTACTACGCCCGCGCGTTCGAGCGCCGCGCGGTGGCCAGCCAGCAGGCATCACCGTCCCGGGCCGCTGGGCCGCTACCCGGGCCGGATGTTCCCGCGCAGGGTCGGCCTGCTCAGGCTTCTGCGGCACCCCTCGCCGCGACCGCGGCGCGCCCGTTCCGCCGGCTCACCTCGGCCGAGCTACTCGAGCGTCGCCGCCAAGGGTTGTGCTTCAACTGCGACGAGCCCTACACGCCTGGCCACGTCTGCCCGTGACTCTTCTACCTGGAGGCTGCAGACTACATTGAGGAGGACGCCGTCACCGCCGACCTAACTGCCCCAGCTGTCGCGAAGGTGTTTGACGCTGGTTGATCACCTCGAGGAGTTCAGCAAGCGCTTCCCCACCTTACAGCTCGAGGACGAGCTGTTTGTGCAGGCGGAGAGAAGTGTTATGACCGTCATATTAGGGGCTTAGCCCAGTGGGTTGTGGCCCAAGTTATCTTATTGTTATTAGGGGCTTAGCCCAATTATCTTATCGTTTGCTTAGGAGTCAAGTAAACCTCTCTATATAAGGAGAGGAGATGTATCAATCTAATCAAGCAAGAAGCAATCATTATTTGCTCGGCTTCCCTTAGGGAGCTGGGAGACCTAACCCTAGCCGCCTCTTGCGCCGCCGCCGCCTCTTCTCCACCACGCAAGGACGGCGCCCAGCCGCCGGCCGCCGCGCCCTCGTCCTCCTCCTCCTCCATCGTTCCCCTACAATCTCCGTCCTAGAACCGGCAGAACCCTAGCTCCTAACAGACGTGGTTTAGACTGTAACCAAACAAGGCCTAAGGTTGTTTTGATGAGTTGTTCTTTAACAATATATAGCACATAAGCATGTTCTGTTCATATTTATTATTCTATTTTGGCATAGTGAATCAGTGATCATGTCATCATTACGTGCCACTTCATAATTTCCTGTATAGTCTGTACATCAACTTTTACTGTTTTTTAAACTTTGTTTTATTGTTTGAATGTAGTTATAGAAAAAGCATGTGGTGACATTCTAGATCATTATGCCATGCTGCACCCTTTAACTGATTTCGTTATTTGACTTGGAGTTATACGCTCAAGCTTCTGTTAAGTTTTTTATAGGATGGCGCTGTAGTGGTCTTCATTTCTGCCGTGTTCAGATTTAAGATCTGAAAAGTTGCTTATTTGTTAGCACTTACCAGTATTTCTAGAAACATTTTATGGTTAAAGATCTTCTGATCGTTGTTTTTCATGATGTAGTCAGGCAAGGTTCATTCTGTACTCCATATAGAGTATCCTGATTGGCCCGACCATGGCGTACCAACAAGCACTGATGCTGTGCGACAAATTCAAAAACGGTTACATCACATTCCGAGAGAACATCCTATAGTTGCACATTGCAGGTTTGCTTCAGCTTAATGCTATGCTACCCTTTGCTCATTTTTTTATTCTCTTAACATTATTTTGGTCTCTTTCTTCAGTGCAGGAATTGGGAGAACTGGTGCTTACATCACCATCCATAGTTCAATTGAGGGAATTCTCCTTGGAGACACAAGCTCTTATGATCTTGTTGAAACTGTAAAAAAATTTAGGTCCCAGCGAACTGGAATGGTTCAAACTGAGGTGCATTCTGTTTCATTCTTACTCCTATCATCTTCATCTAAAAAAGAATATACCCCAGTGCCAGCATAATTTAAGCACATGAGACTTAGGCCTTGCTAACAGATGTTCTCTCATGTTACGAAATAGTTAATGAAATAGAAGAAATCTATTTCATTTGTTGCAATGCAAGTAATTATCTACAATTTCAAGGCAAAACATTGCCTGCTGTGTAATCCTAACTTGCCTTCATCGGCATCTTGCGCATAGAGTTGTTAGGTTAAGGTACAGTACAGGGTAAATTAGTTTTTCTTTTGTCGTTCCCTCATCCTTGAATTTGATCATGCGACACCTGCCATAGCAGGGAGTTTAGTGTTAGTTTTGCGGAGCTTATTCAAACTGTACTTTCTTGGCGTAAGTCTTCAACTGAACGAAGCTGGTTTAGTATCTTATTACTGGTCATGCATACCCTGAACAGCCTGGTAACACATGTATAGAATAAGTTGTGGGTAGTAATTCCAATACACAGTTCCAGTCGACCATTGCATCTACTCCCTCCGTTCCAAATTACTCGTCGCAGAAATGGATGTATCTAGAACTAAAATACATCTAGATACATCCATACCTGCGACAAGTAATTCGGAACGGAGGGAGTAATACTGCTGAACGTGCTAATAGTATTTATTATGTTTATTGCATGAACAGTTTAGTGCTTTTTATGTGTATTTAGATGTTGTATTGGCATATATTTGCTTTTCAGCAACAATACATGTTCTGCTACCGTGCAATTGCGGATGAGCTGAAAGATCTGCTGAGGTCGTCAGGCCGTTGAGGTATTTCTAAGGTAGGCTGCAAGATGCGCATGCAGTGTTGCTGCAAATGGTCAACTGTAATTATTATTCTCACTGTATGCTGTTTTTTTTTTTTTTTGCGAAAGCACTGTATGCTGTTTGTATATGCTGTATAGCTAAACTGTAATTATTATTCTCACTGTATGCTGTTTCTTTGTAGGAAGAAGTGGACTGCTACTGTATTGTCGCCCTTCTATTTCCATCGTAAACCATAGCTTCTTGTTGCTTGTTGCGTTTGTTAGGGCAGTGCATTAAGATCACTTTGCCACCTCTATTTCGACCTGGTCTCCAATATTGTTAAGACAACTGCTTGTTGATTGTTTAAGAATCAGTAGAGTTTACAACATCTGGTGGACCCAAGCATGTAAACAGCCCTCCGGGAATCATTCCTCGACCAAACAGTAGCAGAATCATGGGTCCCTTTCCCTTGTGGATGATTTATATTGTTTCCCAAGACACCACGAAGATGAATGCCAGGCGTATATAGTTAGATGCGACCAATGCATCGTTGATTGTATCGAAATTGAAAACTGGGCATCTGGGACGATTATTTGATTATCTACTTAGTCCCTGTGGGAGCCTTTCTCGGAGTTGTTGAAAATGTATCCACTAGTGTTATCCAAGTCTTCTATCTATACTACTCCCTCTGTAAAGAAATATAAGAGTGTTTAGACCACTAAAGAGTGACTACTAGCAAACTCTCGTGCGGCAGCATGCTATGCATCTCAGGGAGCGTAACTGAACCGACCTTCCTAGTAAACGGCAGATGATAGGCCGCATACAATGCAATGTGCTTGTGAAAAGGAACCGGTCTTTTCTTAATCACCAATGCTTATTTGTAGTGAACATCAGATCTTAGGCATGTCACCATGCATGTCACATATATTGAAATTTAAATTTGAAATGTGTTACTCCTATTTGAAAACTTTACGTTTGCATTATACTCCCTCCGTTCCAAATTACTCGTCACAGAAATGGATGTATCTAGAACTAAGATACATCTAGATACGTCCATACTTGCGACAAGTAATTAGGAATGGAGAGAGTAGTATCTATAAATATTTGAATTAGTGTTGTATTAATATTTAGCAACGCCACGCTCGAAACGAGTAGTACTACATCTTAGGCCCTGCTTGAAATGTCGTTTTTCAGCCCATTACACCTGTAAAACATCCCCTCCGTAAAAGAAAACCGCTGGGCTTCGACTAGGTGCTTGGAACGCCGTTTTCAGGCTGTAAAAAATACACCCGTTTTTGCTTTTACACCCGGAACAGGCCCGTAAACGATACAGATCTTTGGGCGCCGTATTTCCCCACCTCCTCGCTCGAGACTATATATTGAGCGTTGCGCCGCCGTAACGAGGGACGGGAGGCGTCGCCGGCGTCCACGACGCGGCAGGGGTGAGGCGCTGGCTATTTACAGGGATGAGAGATGCCGTCCGCTCCGAAGCCGGCGAGGTCCCCGGCGACCGCGATATGCGCGGGGTCTAAGGGCAGGCGGCCGTTTGAACGTGATGTTGACGGCGGCGAGCGGCGGCCGCTCGCTCCCTCCTCCTGCTCCAAGCGGCCAGATCCGCACCATGCTCGCGGTCACCTCTGCCCCCTCCCCATCCTTTGGATGTTTGTCGTATTTCTTCAATCATCGTTGGATGATACAGTGCTGAGACACATCGGGGCCGCTTGGGTGTTGCAATCTGACGGCGGACTACAGGTGAAAATGTATTCGGTTGTATTTTACTGGTGTACAGTAATATCCAGGTGTAACAATTTACAGTTGTAAAGTTTCACAGACATTCCAAGCGGGGCCTTACTGGTTTCGTAAATCTGCATTGCACTGTGCCGATAAGGCCCCCGTAACGTCTGCTCGGGGGCGTGTGGCAGCCTAGCCACCCACAAGGCACGCAACATGTGGTTCTCGGAGCCGGTTCGCTGCGCATCAACCAATCACCGGCCGCCCCTTCACCACTTCCCGCAGGGACATATAACCCGCGCCTCATCTGCAAGCCTGTGGTGGACACAGGCAGTGCTAGCTCGCTCGATCGATCGTCCTCTCAACCACCATGGCCTCCACCGCGCTCTCCACCGCCTCCAACCCCACCCAGGTAACCACTCCTCCCTTCTTCCTGCCGCCGTCTGATCTCTTCATCTTCTCTTCTCGGTGGATTCCTGGTCTTTTCATTCTTCTTGCGTCCCATTTTGTGCTGTACTTTCGGTGCGCGAGAGAGCCAGGTTCGTTATGCTTGCTGAGAACATGTTGGTGCGCAGCTCTGCCGGACCCGCGCGAGCGCGCTGTGCAAGCCCGTCAAGGGCCTGGGCTTCGGCCGGGAGCGCGTCCCGAGGAACATCACCTGCATGGCCGGCAGCATCTCCGCGGACCGCGTGCCGGACATGAGCAAGAGGGAGCTGATGAACCTGCTCCTGCTGGGCGCCATCTCGCTCCCCACCTTCGGCATGCTCGTCCCCTACGGCTCCTTCCTCGTCCCGGCCGGCTCCGGGAGCAACGCCGGAGGCGTCGCCGCCAAGGACAAGCTCGGCAACGACATCCTCGTCGAGGACTGGCTCAAGACGCACGGCCCCAACGACCGCACGCTCGCCCAGGGGCTCAAGGTACGTATCTTCAGATTCACGCGGTCATTCTGAGGCGTTCACAAGCTATATGCAAGCAGAGATGAAGCTGATGGATCAGCCCAGGGCAAGATAAACTTGCTGAAATTGTGTGCATGTTGCAGGGTGATCCTACCTACCTTGTGGTTGAGTCCGACAAGACCCTCGCCACCTACGGGATCAACGCCGTGTGCACGCATCTTGGATGCGTCGTGCCGTGGAACGCCGCCGAGAACAAGTTCCTCTGCCCCTGCCATGGATCCCAGTACAACAACCAGGGCAAGGTCGTCCGTGGGCCTGCACCTCTGGTAAGATGCCCTCCTAGTCCCATCTCATGTTCTCAACTGAACCTTTCTGAAGAATCCATTGTTTGCTTGCTCAACTGAACCGAACCAAGCTGACCTCATCTGCATTGCTCTTGTGAAACAGTCGCTGGCCCTGGTTCACGCGGACGTTGACGACGGCAAGGTCGTCTTCGTGCCGTGGGTGGAGACCGACTTCAGGACCGGCGACAACCCGTGGTGGAAATAAGCGACGCAAGCTCCGGCAGCAATGCTCACTTGTGTGATATGTTAAGCCTCCTGCCAGTCCTAAGAACGCTGCTATAAGACTACTCCTGCTATAAATGCACCTGTTTCTTGTATCCAGTTATATGTATACAGTCTATGGAAGGAGAAACCTTTTTCATTGCATATATAGTAGTATCACATTTTGAGGGCTCTGAATCTGGTAGTACCTACGATGTAGACGACTCTTTTTCTATAGCAGATCAAACCTGAACCTGAATCTACACCTAGATAGCAATCTGAATAGTTAAAGAGGTAGCATGGCATATCTGCAGCATTGTTCAAAAGGGCAATGCAGAGTCGATATGTTCTGGGAATGATACAAGCCACTGTCTCTAGAGGCTATTCTCTCAAGTATATTTGGCATAGCTTCTCTGTTCAGAAACGGCACTTTCCTCTTGAATCAAGTCAACAATGGAACTCTAATTGTTTCTCCCTAGTTCTACTCGAAGATTCGAGCCATTCTAATAAGTAGAGAATCATCCGGATATGTTCAAATTAGTTCAAAAAAATCTGGGCATGTTAATGCCAGAAAAAGAGCGGGTCAGGATAAACAGCAAGTGTAAAAAATGAAGAAATGAAACAATGTGGGTTACCAAAAGCAAGCAATCAAAATTTCTGGCATACAAGAACAAAGCTAGAGCGAATTCAGTACATTAAGCTTTCACAAGAACAAATATGCAAACATTCGCATCAAAGCTAGAGTAGATATATAGGACATTCATGGGCCATGATACATCCAGCATCAAGCATATTATGAATACAAAATGCAGAAACATTCTGTTTCGCAGATAAAAAAATCTTCTAGTAGAATATATATGAATCCAATCCCACATTACAGTAACCTGCTACTAGTACTAATCACACCAAATGTACTCACATAATAACAATTCAAGAATCTATTTCACTCGACGAAAATTGTGATATCCATGACCCATCCATCCTCCACCTCCCTCACCTATACAGCTACCAAGAGTAACCCCAGCAGAAACAGTGAACATTTACCACGGCAATGCAAAAATCTTAGCTCAGATATAAGCGATCATCAGAATGAACCAGCTGCAGGAACAGCCCATGCGGCCATGGCTCTTCCTCCCCTTGCGCCTACGGAGAGTGGGACTCACCTTCCGGCGGCTTCCCCTCCACCGAGTAGACTTCCGTGGCGGGTGGCGGCGCGTACATCACCTGACGGAATGGCGGCATGGAGCGCGGGACGCCGTAGACGCCACCGACGCCCCCAGACGAGTAGAGATCTCCCGGGGCTTCGTTTCTCCCCCCACCGACAATGTGGTAAACCGGCCCGGGCATGTAGCCGCCGTGCCCAGCCGCGTCGAGGTAGTGGACCGGGCGAACAGGCACGTAGTACACCGGCTGCCCCATGTACGGTGGCGGCGGGGCCGGCCACGGGGCGCTCTCCGGGACGTATGGCACCAGAGGAGCGCCCAGTACGGGAGCCGGCGCGTCGTCGTCGTCGTCGCCTTGCGCCACCTCCGCGTCAGACTTGGGCTGCGCGCCCGTGCCGGGGCTGGGCTCCTCGGAGGTCGTGTCGAAGCCGAAGAGGTAGTCCGGGACCTCCGAGACGATCGAGGAGGCCTCGGATCGGCCGCGCTCGATGGAACCGGGCGGCGGGGCATTGAGCTGGTCGACGAACCACTGGTCGGAGGAGGCGTCGCCGACGCCGGAGAGCACGGAGCCGAACGCGCCCGCAGGGGAGTGGTCCGGCGAGGCGGCGAAGAGGAAGAGGCGCAGGCGGGGCGGCTTGATGGCGGTGGCGGCGAGGCTGTGGACGCGGTCGAGCTCCTCCATGAGGTTGTCGACGTCGTCGTCGGAGGAGACGGAGATGAGCGCGTCGAGGTCGTCGTGCGGGAGCTGGTACCGGAGCGCCGGGGTGGGCTCGCCGGGGACGAAGAGCGCGGGGGCGAGCTTGGCGAGCGCGGCGAAGAGGACGGCGTGGGAGGTGGTGCGCGGGACGGAGACGATGCGGGTCTCGCCGCCGACGTAGCGGAGCTGGTGGTCACCCGGGCGCGGCAGGATGCGGCCGCCGAAGCTGCACATGAGGCGCACGAACGCGGCCCCGTGCGGCTGCGCACGCGGAGGAGGCGGGTGGTGGTGGCCGCCGCCGCCGCCGTTGCCGTTGCTGCTGGTGGTGCTGCCGGCCCCGGCGCGGGGGGTGGAGGTGGCCGAGGAGGCGTCGTGGTGGTGCGACGACGATGACGTCATGGGCGCCGGCCGGGGGGCGATGGCAGGGCGGGGGTGGAGGCAGGCTGTGTGCCGCCGCAGGAGGTGTTAATTGCGAGGTGGCATTGGGATATGGGAATCGCAACTTGCGAGGAGAGAGAGAGAGAGAGGGCGAGATTTTCTAGTCCTATATGGTTCGGGGGGAGCTGGGCCCGTTTGCTAGCTGTGATCCAAACCGGAGCAGTCATTCCTTTCCTGTCCTACTACTACAACTTTTGAAATTTTGAATTTTTAAGCTATGGTAAATGGTGATTCTCGTTGCCAGTGGGAAATCAGTACTTACAACTTTCCTACTGTGCTTCATTTTTTATTTTTTTAATCGTTTTCTAAAAATATATATTTTCCAGAGCGATTCCATAAGGCAGTGTGACACGAAGGAAAATCGTTTCGCCAATAGAAACGCACAAGACACGAGAATGTATCCTCGTTCACCTTTTCCATGGTTGCTTTTCTCCAACGAGAACATGTTTGGGTTCCGGATGATCCGAGAGTCCAGACCCAGACCCAGACCCAGACCCGGTAAGGGACAAAATTATTGATCCCAGAGACATTCCGTCACCTGATCTTGCACAGAGCCCTAGGGAAACGACATGTCTAGGACTCCTCCGTTGCTCTCTCCCCTCCCCTCCCCACGGATCTCGACATGGACGCCAATGCCGGCCGTAGTCCTCCCAGTCTTTTCTGCTGCTAAAATATTCCCGAATAAAGTCGGGATCCCGTCGTTCGACCAAACCTCGTAAACTAGATTGGGTCCGCGCCCTGGCGCGAGGGTGCCGGTCCCAACGTTTTCAAAACAGGTAATGCTAAGTCAGTATTAACCTAAGTTTAATACTATCTGCAATCATAATGGATAACATGCAGTGAAGAATATGATAGGAGCGGGACATAGATGTGCGGACACTTCTAAAAGTGAACGAACATTTTTGAAACATGTGAACAAATTTCAAAATTATAGTAATATTTTAAAAATATGTTAACACTTGTTAAGTTACACAGAAAAAGCTATAATAGTCAACAATGCAAGTCTCTTCAAACAAGAAACCCAACCCGTCCGACACTTATCCATCACCACCAAGTGCTTTGTAGTAGAAATATCAGCCAAAATATGCACTACTGATTATCTGAACTGGAGCATCACATTTTGAAGAAGAAACAAAAATATATTTAATAGACAACGTACTGAACTTGGTTTACAGTACACGACATTCCTTACGATATGAGCCTTGTAAAAAGAAAAGATGTATTTACTATATCATCTATCATTCTAGCATAGCGAGTACAGCCTTAAGATAAAAAGACGATTCACAATGGAGTTGACAGATGCCATGAGGACGATCAAGAGTACATAATCAGTTGGGCTACAAAGCAGCAGAGCAAGTCTGTGAATAGATTGTACAAGCCGCTTTCACATTTACAAAGGGAAGAATCCTGGCACAAAGACTTTGTGACCCTGACTAAATGGAAATCCTAATCAGTATGTAAAAGCGAAGATAAAGCCATAACTAAATGGAAATCAAAAGCTACTACATCTACAAAAAGTATAGTCCTGTGCCATGGAGTTAATAACTACTTAATATTGGATATAAACAGAAAATATAAAAAAACTGCTACCTGTCCATCATTTCCACATTCTTACAACTGAGACATACTTTTAAAACCACAAGCTCCTCAACTCACAACAGAAAATAAGCAATGTAACTCGATCGTCCGTTTTCAGGGAAACAACATGACACATAATTAAGGATCCATTCGTGACGAAGAATCAAGTTTATAATGAATGGATGGCAAGAAATAAATGATCTCTAGCAAAGCAATCTTACATGGCTAATAGAGTGGAGGTTGAGAAACCTCACCGTCTGACATCAGGAGGAGCTCAAGTGGGCCTTGGAATCGCCCGTGCTGTCATGGAAGTTCTATGCACCGCGAACAGTCCCAACGGCGCTTTCACTTCATATGGTGTGATAACCTGAACTCTGTACATCAAGCAGTAATCTTATTGTTACCACTCTTTTCACCTTATTATATGCCTAATTATTTAACACTGACAGAGGTTTCCAAATTGGCGATTTTGTTTTGGCATATAAAGAAACTGAAGTTCATAATATATAAAAGCAAATTAATAGAAATTAAATATTGCAACCATGAATCCAATCCTCTAGTGATTACTCTCATTCTAAAGTTAAAACATACCATTATGTAGCTACTAAGTAATCAATTAGGTTAGCTTGCACGAACAAGGAGTTAACTGACAGGTATCCCTAATCACAATAGCTAGTTAGTAGTTTGCATGCTACTAACCTCACGCTTGACCAGCCTGCACTATATGGACTCCTTCAGGCTTCTGCATTCAATGGGTTCTCTCTCTGGCGCTCCTCTGTTGACTGTACAACAGGTAAGAAGTGCGGCTTGCCGCACCCCTGCGGGTGCGGTCATTCTCAACCCGGTAATAAAGCGATCAGAAAATAATGTAAGAATATCAGCAAGCAACAATGCAATGAACAAGAGAGCGAAAGGCAAATACATAAGAAACATAGATCAACTTCTTACATGGAACATAACATGAAAACCCATGCATTTATTAGTTTGGACCAGACCAGTTGCCCTAGGAAACATCACAAAGTTCAAGGACACTGCAAATTTGCTATAGAGCAATCCCTGTCATTTCACTATTCAGCTGGCAATATTGGGATCACAAATTCAGTAAATTTAGTAACTGAATATATCACCACACTTTTCAGCATATAGTTTCCTGTTTATTTGTACTTGAGAGAGCTCTCGAGTATAGGTGTGAGACCAAGTTGTATTTAAGACCGCACATGGAAAAGTTGTGTATGGAAAGAACAACATGGACATGTGATAGGTTGTACATGTGTCCGAGGTTACATAAAGTACACATGAAGCGACTTTACATCACTGATATGTTAGCCAGTTTATCCTAACATAGACTAATGCAACCTGACCTTACATACCATACTGGCCAAAAGGGTGCAACAACCATCTTGGATAAATAACTATAGACTACCTGTATATGATATGATTGGGGAAGAGCTAATACTAAGTACTACTCCCTCCGTTCCAAATTACTCGTCGCAGAAATGGATGTATCTAGAACTAAAATACATCTAGATACATCCATACCTGCGACAAGTAATTCGGAACGGAGGGAGTATTAGGTAACTACTTGGATAACCATCAAATCTTACCATCAGTCTTAGTCTATCCAGATTCCTGAAAGTAAATACCACGTAGCCATGTGAGTGGCTAGGAAGCATATTTTTAAGACATTACAGTTTAGCATCATTTGCCGGAGCTAAATTACATAAATTTCTATAGCTCTTTATCCCTGTAGTTGAAAACTATGTGAAACAATACAAATAAGAGAAAAATGAGGTATCATTTGGAAACACAAACTTTGGGAGCCCTCAACTACACCGAATGGAAATACATGATGATGCTAAGCACCATAGCATGATAGGGAACATGGCTCTGGTGTCGATGCACATTGTAGCAGAAGTTTCCACTGCAGAGGTAGTACACATAAAACCATGGTGGCGCAGGGAGTCTCTGGCAAGAAAACCACAAGATCCAGTCAAGCCCACTGCATGAAGTTGGAGACATGGCAGCAGGGGTTCGCACAATAAACTCCATTCAAATCCTTTAAAGCATCTAGTTGATGAAACGGATAGAGGAATTGTCAAATTAACTCGCCTGCTCACCAAAAACAATAAATGAAGAAATAAAAACCAGCCTTGCATTATAGTATGGTGGAACCGGGCTTGCAATAAACTCCTGAGGGCCTGGTTTATGGAAAAGGATTAAAAGACACCAGGTTTACATCATCAAGTGACATGAACGACAAGATGGGTACGGCGGCAAAAGGGGCCAACCACCAACACGTCACCGCTGGATAGAGTTGCATAAGGAAGTGGTGAAGTGAATCGCAAACGAACTCTGAACATGCTTCTGTGATGAGCTGAGGCTTATGGGGAATCAGAAGAATACTTTTGATTGCAAAAACATAAATTTAGTATCTGGCAAACTGAATGATGGGATGTTACACAACCATTGTAGACTGACTTACTAATGTTTAATACAATACTTATTTTGCTATTTCTCACAATGTAAGATGTAGCAAAGTTCGGTGAGGTTAGGCCTGAATATCAGCAACAGAAAAAGCAAGCAAGAACAAATACGTCTTAGCTCGAGCTCAAGCTATTTAGGTAAGATAATAAGAACCAGTTCATCGACATATTTTGGATAGCTATAGAACACATTAAACTTCACATTAAGATTGTGAGATATACCTCAGTTGAGTAGATCCTTTGATCGGCCCCCTTGGAAAAATCACCAAACTTTTGCAGAAGAAGTGGAGGACTTTAAGAATAATTGAATCTTCTGACCACCTCCTCCATCGATAAAAGAGAAGAAATTACATGGTAAAATTATACAGTCATCTGCCATAAAATGGAAAAATACAAACCATTAGCAAGTCTGGATTACACGATTGTGGAAATTCAACACATGACACCAGCAAGATAACTAATACAGGAAAGTTACAAATGAGACTGTAAAATACAAAGAATGTAGGATAACATACATTCTTTCTTCTTGCAAGAACCCTTCACTTTGGCAGCATGCTCTCCAACTGCCTTCTTCTCTTCTTTGGTTCCAAAAAGGTCAACATTGTTGTCATCGTCATTATCAGCGGCAGTAGCCTGCAAAATACAGGATTCATGATGTTATACTTGTGATACTGAAATATTTAAATAAACCACACAAGTTCCCAATAACAACCAGGACATGAATCAGTTAAGCAGTTGACACACTTATGCAATAGAACACAAATGCCGTTTGATCCTGTGATGGATAGATCCGAGCCGTCGGATAAAAAATGATTCATGCGCTTGTGAGAGGAAAAATTACTTCTTTCTAGGAAAAACTGTACTAAAAATAGGAAAAATGTACAAAAATAAGTGAGAGCG